ATTTTATCTGGAAGACGAAAAGTCATACCGGGGTCTGTTTCCCGCAGGCGCTTGTTCCGGTGATCTGGTAGCGACCAGTAAGTGGCAGCGCATTCGCGCATGAGTGATCTCAACAATGTGTTGACGTCACCTCGCGAGTAGGGTACTTTGACGTACATAGGAGCGTTGTATATTGCCGCTCTTGCTTCGCCATCGGCTGTTTCGTTGCCAACCAGGCCGCAGTGTCTAGGAATCCATTGGAGTGTAAAGAAGTGACCGCTCCTGTGTGTTAGGTCAAATGCTTGGACGATTCCTAACATTAACTCGTAAAATTGGCCTCTTCTTGAGCAAAAATGGACGCTGAGCTAACATAATAGGTATTAGGATAATGACGAGCCTGTGGCTGACTGGTTTAACGTGTATTTTGCTGCTTCCCCGCAGAGAATAGAGAATATGCCGGGGCTTGGAATGTTTCGACCACATGGTCTCCCCCACTCATCACCCCTCTTCACCTGCCTTCTGGGAACGCACCGCGTTCCAGTGGAAGGTTGAGCGACCCTTCTCTCAGAGCTCTTCCCCCCACTCCTCAGTGCCCTGCCCCTCTACTCCTGTTCTCTCAATGGAATTCGCCATAATGCTCACATTGATCATTAAGTCTCCAAATGTGGTATAATCACGCTTAACTTACATTCCTTCTGAGGGCCCAAATATACTTTTATATCCTGATGGAAGTTAATGTGATGCCGTGACGGCAGCCTTACTAATAATCCCAAGAGCACGCATACACATCTTCATTTAGAATAATGTCAACGAAAAGGTGTGCATTGTGGCAGAACAGTGAGAAATGCAGTACAATCAGTACTCAGGCTCCAGCCAACGAAGCATGTATCCCACCTAAAAAAAAAAAGCTTGTGCAGTAAATATTTTACCCGTCGGGCCCTTTTCCACTCTTCAACTCTCAACCTCTCCAGAATCTATCAGTGCTAAGTCATGTGTTATGTCCATCCCGTGTACCGCCCTGCTCTGCTGCAATGTCATTGAATCAACTAGCTCACCTAAAGAACAAAGTAACTACAGCCTTACCAGTCATCCCGATTAGGTGCCCAAATATATGTTTCTATGCCCGTATGTCAGATAATATGACGAAATGGCGGCACCATTACCATTCATCCCCAGGGGACTCCTGATACATTGCTATGTCCAGGTGAAAAGAATAGCCATGTAGCCAGTATACCGGTTTCATTGGTGAAATTTTGTGTTAAGTGAACAGTCACGCCATTCTTCAGTTGTGAGGGACAATAGGCTTCGATTTTGTTTCAGCTTGACAGAACGTTACATGAAGTGCGGAGTACGTGCACAAGGCCATGAACGCCATGCTCAGCGGTCGGCTTCCAAAGTCACGTACCTTAAACAAAAACCATTCACTAAACAGCCTTAGAAGTGGTTAGTGTACAATCGCACTGTTAAGGATTCCCATTGCAGACGGAAATAAATAAATAAAAGCGTCCCGATTGTCCGTGAAGTGTCGTTCTGGAGTTAAATGAAGCGGACATTTGAGCAAACTATTCTAGCTCCACCTTGAGCAATATTGCTAAAGAGCAACGATGCAACCAGCTCCTGTCCTGTTAGTTGTATCTCAATTTCTATTCGCATTTCTCGTCGGGTAGTAAAATGAAGTGGTATATAAGAAGCCTATTCTGTGCTCCTCAATGTATCGTGTACCATTGTCCAGAATGCTTAACTTCGGTAATCTCAGGTGTCTAGAAGCTTCCTTGAGTTATTAAAGGACAGAAGGCTTTGGTAAACACTAACTGCTACAGATTGAATTATTGTAAATGGGCATACTTTTGCTTGAGTCATACAGAAATGCTTAGCACCGGTATTTCGTCTAGAAATAGCTGCATCATCATACTGCGAAGTGGAAGCGCGTGGGGAACCTGTATATTGCAACTTGTGGGGTCTGGATATGGAGAGCACCACGCTCTTGGAGTGAACGGACACAGCAGACACGGTCGGAACAAACCAAACAACGTAGCACATTTATAAAACTACATTTGGAACGACGATATTGTCAGTCGAATCATTATAAATCAATTGTGATCCACACGCTAAAAAACCTCACACAATATTACACAACCTCCAAGAACATGACAAACGAGGTGGTGCGGCTAACGCCTGATTCACCACAAGGGACCCAGACAGACAGCTCACTGTGCCGTGCACCAGGGTCCCACTGCGAGAGACAACTGGTCGCGCCAAATGCCACCAGCCAAAGAGACTCGCTTCTCTCTCCTGTGCCGTCATGAAGAATTGCCGCTAGGTGTCACTGCCGGCACCATCGTTCTAACCATAATGACGATGATGGTGGTAATAAACGCTCGCGAACACAACGCCACCTACCTCACGGTAGTTGTGAACCCGAAATACGGCCAATGCGCAAAACACGTGCGCCATGAGACGCAAACGACTTTACAGGGGGTGTTAGCATTCCCACAATCTTGAATGAAGTATACACTACTTCATTGCCATTAGCGTCATGGCCAAGCTGGCGTTGAGTTGCGTATCTACACCTATGCGAAAATTCCTTTCAACCGTTTCTCGCTCCGTTCCGAACAGGGTTGTCCAAAAACCAGCGTATGACATCATCGTTTTCATGACCACGCCCGTCTCTGTACTGTTCATGGTTTTCATACCCCGCCCATCTCAATTCTACTGCGTGGATTCATCACATCGTTCAGCCTTACATATAGGTTTTAATTCCCTTGACAGTGCTGATAGACAAACGGGATGTCGCCTTGCTGGGCAATGATTGAAATACCACCCTCCGATCCACTTCTGCCCTCTCCGCTTCGGTTGACCTTATTCAAACGCGTGCCAGGTTGCGTGCCTGATAAACCGATATAATAATCTGAGCGCCCCATGCCAGCATGTCATATTTATTTGAACAGATTGGTATATAAAAAAAAGTCTGGCCTTGTGGTTTCAAAGATCACCAAGCGTTATCACAAGAACACAAGTGTTTTTGCTTCCGTATTCATGTACCGAGAATGCATAGTAAGGAGTGCAAGATGGATGTGTCTTGAAAACGGGAAGGCTAAAAACTAAATATTTCCAAACAGCTCCCGACCCCTGACGGCGCTGTAAAACTGTTCATTCCTAAAATATTTCCGGGAAGAGCCCTCAGAGCAACTGTTAACTAAATTCAAGCACTTAAAGTGTAGACATACAATATTTTCATCCTGAACATTCGTTATTCCCAACAACGCGCACAGCATTTTTACTAACTTCTTGACAAACTTTCTGAACTAACTACGTAAAAACTTCGCGGCTTGATGTTTTTGGACATAACTCATGTTACCACTTCCAGTAGATTTCGGGATCTTTTTGGTGGAGTGAATAACTTCGAGAGTTTGCTAAAAGATTGGCTTCTATGATTACTTATTCGCAATAAATAACGCTCTTCCATAGAAAACGTGCGTCTTTCTAAGGACAACCGCTAGAATCGCTCTTCGGTGATATTCCTGATTGATGGGCATGACTATAATACAAATATCAAAAGGCACAAAGTGGCATGTAAAACGTTCAGAAAGATTCTTCTTTCCTCTTTTTTTTTTCTGCAAGTCTTCCAACATTATCGCAACAATGACAATGTAAAAAGGACAGGAGAAAAGGTTTCGTTCTCGAATCCGTTGCTTGGTGTGCATGCGTCGATCTTTATTAGACGCATATCATGGTCGAGTGCAATTCGCTATGCCGGCGGTGTGACCACCCTTACAGCGCTTGTGCGTCCCCTCCCCATCTCTCTCCTTCGGCAACCCTCCCCGCGGCGTGTACACCCCCTTCCCTCATGCACGCCCCTTCTCCCCATCCCTTCCTACGCTCCCCCATTTCTCGCATCGCAAACGCCGACAATGGCAGCTCCTGCTTGAAAGTTTTTCGATTGACAAAAGCGACTGCTCGCGCATCAGAACCGTTCACTGGTCACTGAATCTTGACCTGCGAAGTAGTGCCGGTGGGAGATTTCTCCTGTGCGTTGTTGAACAATAATAATTCTCAGCGTCCCGTTACCTAAAAGCGAACTGCGGGTCCCGGTGCCAAATCGGAGACTTCTGTCTCTTATTGCACAATAGCGGCGATTCACATGTTACAGAAGAAAGAACCCGGTCAGTGGCTGCGTACTTTGCGCCTCCCCAGGTTTCCCTTCTACGCAACGCCGCCTCCAGTGCGAGTGCTATAGCGCCCACTGCTTCCCATCTACATGTGGTTCCCTTTAGCGGGAGCAAGGCGGTTTTAAAAAAAAATTAACCTCCTTGAAGGGGAGTAGGTGTAATATTTAAGGGCGAAGCTTCTTAAGGCGTGGGGTTGGTCGTCACCTATATGTATGCATGTATGTAGCAACCACCTCACAGCAAATCCACGGAGTGAATAATGATGAGCTGGGCGAAGCTTCGAGGGGTTTTATCGGCAAACCGCGAATCATCTGCTAGGCCGCGTTCGTCCATCATCTGTCTGTGAAAAACAGATGCATGAGTAACAGATGCATGTTCACTCGTATGACTACGAAGGCAGGAAGAATAACCGCATCGATAATACGGGCAATGCAGCCCACCTTTTGTTACACTGTCAAACTCATGCGCGAGAATTCTCAACATGTGCGAATTCCACACGTTCTTGTTTTGTAGCTGAAAGTGTTGGTCATGTATGTTTTTCGGTATATTTTGGGGGATGTAGAATGGTTTACTCGTATTCAGCTACTTGTGGCGGATCGCACAATGGTATTCAGCGATGTTACAATTTTTGCAATAGAATGCGCGCTTTGGGCATACAAAGGACTACAAGGCTTTCTCAGGGGATATGTCGCTAGTTCGTTACTTATCAACCGCCTGTAAAGCGGTGCGCAGAACCAACCGCTTCGACGCGAATTTGAACATTGCGCTGTAACAGATGGCGCTACAGAACGTCGCGACGAGTTACTGTCCTACAACGAGAGATGGCGCGCAGAGCGCACCAGCTGCAAAGCCATCTGTACACCTGCATTTTCGCATCGCGTGTGCATGTGTGACTGTCGCCTGTGTTTATGTTGTTGGTGTAATCCCTCGCTCAGACGTGCGTAAGCCGTGTCATTTCGAATTATTTGGTGCAGAACGCTTTGACCGCTTCGCACAGCTACCGCAGCTTGAGATAGGTCACGCCACATTCCGCCGGCGAATCTTAAGCTAGATCGCTGAAGCGGAGGCGCGGTGCTTTTGCGCTTGTTGTCTCCTTTTATTCCGTATTCGTGACACAAGTGCTTCGCCGCTGGCGACCTTTTCGGATCATAAGCAATACACCGGCCCTACGAGTCGCTCTACGCGTGCGCCCAATCACGCGTGTCATCATCTAGTCGCTGGGTTCACCGCCAGCTCGACCGTGGGGCGTCTGCTTTCTACTCCGCTCCGACAGCGCCGTGGGTGCTGCACGCGTTCAATCGCATTTCCTGACCGCCTTGGCTAATCGTGCATCGGTCGCCTGTCGTGGCTGCGAACATCCGTCGCCGCGGTTATCTTCGACGCGTCCTTGGACAACTTGTGCTGACTAACCATGGAGCTGAGGCTTCGCCGCGTCTTCGACTGCTTCGTGGTGGCCTTCATCTGCGCCGCTGGACTCCTGCTACTGCCGCTGTTGCTGCTGAGTTTTCGCGCACGCCAGTGGTTCTTTGTGCATATCATGGCCGTGGCTGGCCGGCTGTGGCGACACACCTTCGAGGACACTCGACGCAAAACGATTGCCGCGCTGGACGAGCCGGAGTCCAGCGATCCTGAATTGCGCGCGGACGGCGCCATTCGAGTGCTCGAAATTGGCGCTGGTTCGGGAGCCAACTTCGGCTTCTTACGAAGGAAGATCAAGTACTGGAACGTCGATCCCAACACGGAGTTCCAAAATTTCCTTCTGGAAACGATCAAGAAGTACCCGAAGGTTGGTGCATCTCCGAATTATTTCAAAATGTGAAACGTGTCGCGATTTCTACAAAATTAGTTGTGACACTAGCGCAGGGGCGTAGGCAATTTTTTTTTCGGTGGCGAACCTTCATGTCTTCCTCTTCCTCCTTTTTTCTGTGGGGGACTGACTCCTCAGAAGTTTCACGAAGGGGGAGGGGCACGGGCCCGGTATGCGGTTCCCTCTAGTCCACGGCCGGACTAGAGGGGCGAGGGGCGCACCCCCTCACCCCTTGCGCGCGTGGCACCACTGTAGTCCGGCCGTAGCCCCACAAGCTGGTTACGGCACTGCGCTAGCGCCATTCGCCTTTTGTATTCGCTAAGCGTCAGGCAAAAACAAGCAAATATTCATTTATTCTCACAAAGCTTGCACGTTGATAGTGCAAACGTGACGTGTTACATATATAGTTCGGTTTGGCTGAAGCGCCATGATGTAACCAGCGCACACTTTGTAACAAGCGTGAAGCCATTCGGTGTGCCAGCATTTGTGCTTTCGCATTTCCTGTTCTGTTCAGCGCCGCGCACGGGTTTAAACTAAGGCAGAATGGCCATTTCTACCCATCTGTTATATTTTTCATTTCACTTACCTTCGACCGTCCTTTCATTTTTTAGGTTTCTTTGACGGCATTGCAAGGGCCATAACTTATCAAACAGCAGAGCATGTTCTGTGAACAGAGCTACAGCCTAGCAGAGGGCAGGAAAAGCACCAGCTTCCCTTTACTCATCACCTCAATCACTTATCGGTCACTTACCGTCTATTTTCTAATCACATAGCTTTATTTTCCCCGAAAAGAACAAATTTCAAAAAAAAAAAAGCTCTTATGAACAGCTTGACTAGGCCAAGGAACCCTTTCGAGACAGTTGACAAGACCACACGTTTAATAGAGACAAAGTGATAATCGTAAGGGTTTCACGTTCGAAAACAACGATATGATCACGAGGGTCGCCGTAGCGGAGGGCTCCGGAAATTTCGGCCCTCCGAGGTTTTTTAACACGTACCTACATCCAGGCAGGCAGGCCTCAAGCATTTTTTGCCTCCACCAAAATGCAGGTGGGATTTGATCCCGTGACCTACAGGTTAGAAGTCGGGCGCCTTAACCACTAGACCACTGGGCAGGTGACGAGATACCTAGTATCAGAGATATGCAGAAATATTTTCACTTTCAGAGCACCAACACACCCTAAATAAATTAATATTACCCTACTAATGTATATTGTACCCATATTCATTTTCTTCAAAGAGGAGAGTTCGGATGCTACAGAAAATAATATGGAAAATAACAATCCTGAGAAATAGCCATGATCTCAAAAGAGAAAATGTCCGAGAAAACACATCGCCATGTCGGTGATAAACTACTGTCTTCCATTGTCAGACATCCTATAACGTGTTATAATTTGATAAGTTAACACCCCTCTAAGTGCTGGTAACTAATCCCAATGCTGCTTTATTACAGGCGGACAACACCTGTCACGTAAATTTACAGTAGCGCTCTTTTTTAGTTCTATTCAATTTTGTCGCGTTCCTAATTCGACAACATATCTGGTATGTCGTAAGTTATGTAGTTGTTGTTGTGCTGAACACTTGCTTCTCATCCAACGACACTGCCTTGGTTTTTGTTTGTTAGATTGTAGAGGAGGTAAGAACCTAGACAAGTGGATTGTCGCTATTTTATGTTATTGTCTATTTCGTCAGCATGCGATATTCTAAACGTTCGTTCGCATTGTCTCTTCTATCGATTAAGATCGGCTTAAACGCGGCTAACGAGGCGCACGGACTTTATTTTTTCAACTACACTAGTTGAAATATTGAATGAAAGGTGTGTAATTTTGTCCCACAACAATAATCTGGCTTGCGTGTGCTTCCTTCCTTGTCAAATCGGCGCTGCGCACTTTCTTATCAAGAATGCTATACCATGCTGATAACGCGCGGATCGCGGGTTCGAATCCCGGCTGCGGCGGCTGCATTTCCGATGGAGGCGGAAATGTTGTAGGCCCATGTGCTCAGATTTGGGTGCACGTTAAAGAACCCCAGGTGGTCGAAATTTCCGGAGCCCACCACTACGGCGTTTCTCATAATCATTTGGTGGTTTTAGGACGTTGAACCCCACATATCAATCAATCAATCTGATAACGCGCGTGTCGTTCGTGACCAGGCAGTGCCGGGTACGCGGTGATAAGGGAAGGAATATAGTGCGAGATCACGATTATTTGTGATAAAAAAGATGCCCTTTTTTATATATTCCCACAGCGTATGAAGCCTTGAGGGTAAGGAGCTGGTACAATTTAGTAATTGATTAATTGATATGTGGAGTTTAACGTGCGAAAACCACCATATCATTATGAGAGACGTCGTAGTCGAGGGCTCCGGAAATTTCGACCATCTGGGGTTGTTTAACGTGCACCCAAATCTGAGCACACGGGTCTAACACATTTCCGCCTCCATCGTAAATGCAGCCACAGCAGCCGGAATTTCACAATCTAGCGTTGAACATTGCATTTTTACGAGAGCAATGAGGAAGTGATATTATATCCCGTTGACCGATGGTTGGTAAACAAGTGGTCATGGCTCGGCAACAGCTGTTGTTGGCCTAGCGATGGTGGCACAAAGTGGAGCCCTGATTGACAACCAATATCGCTGGTTATCAGTTGGTTGCTGACGTTCAGCCAATGGTCGGCAAGTGATAGGGACATCATTGTCGGAACCCAATGCTAGGGTGACCAGACGTGGGTCACTGTTGGACCATGCCTTCCTAACTACCCCGTTGGCCAGTTGCTATGGACCAGACATAACGCGACATTGCATGGTATCTATGGGTGCAATTTTTTCCCTACACCGTGTGCATTTTTTCACGGTCTGCGAAAATTTCTTGTTTGAGGCTCGGCGTCGGCTGTCACATATAGAGTGCGCAAGATTGTTTGCTCAAGAATATTCAATTCATCTGTGCACCACTTGCCATCTGCAAGGTTGGCCTAGGGCTTTGGGCCCGTGTTGGCAGCCCGAGTGCGGGCCGTGTGAGGTCTTTGTCGGCGTCACGGTCACGTGATAATATAGTCATGCCACATGGTGCGTGTCTGGTAAACAAGCCAAATTATTCGCGAATTCTGCGTCTTTTTGGTGCACTGTCATATGCACCTGGTCAACTATGTAGACATCCCTGCCTCTTTGATCACCTGTCCTCTTTGATGGCTCTCCGCATGCCCACTGGGCTGGACCGAAGAGAAGTCACCCTTCTTTATCGCTTATGGCTAGGAGTGGCATTTACAAAATCTTATTCCTTTGTCATAGGAATGGCGGACAATGCTCTCTGCGATGCCTGTCATTGCGAAGAGACACTACACCACATCCTGTGCGACTGTCTGTTGTATGACGTCCAGAGACAGTCACTGACGTCCGTTCTTGCGCGCATCGCCAACAGCCAAATTTCTGTGGACACTATTCTTTCAAGTGGCCGAGAGAAGACATTGCAACAGAAAGCGACAAAAGCTCTGTTGAAACTCCTACGTCACACGGACTTGAACAAGCGGCTGTAGCAGCAATGTCATACACCGCGAAAGACAAGATTGTACTATGACTGAGTGTGCGCGCGTGTGCTCCCGAATGTGCCGTGTTTATCTCTCTTCCCTCTTGCTCTGTATCCTCGTTTCCCCTCCCATGCGAAGAGTAGCAAACCGGCTGCCTATAGGCTGGTTAACCTCGCTGCCGTTCTTTTCCTCCTATTTTCCTTCCTTCCTTCCTTCCTTCCTTCCTTCCTTCCTTCCTTCCTTCCTTCCTTCCTTCCTTCCTTCCTTCCTTCCTTCCTTCCTTCCTTCCTTCCTTCCTTCCTCCCTTCCTTGTTTCCTTCCTTCTAAACTTTCACATGCTCATAGACATTGCTTCGTGCGTCAATCAGACATTTATGGCATTGCAACTAAAAGCACACAAATCTTTAAAAGCTTGTTTCCTCAGCTCCCATGGCTGCTGACCCGAAAGTCACGGAATTGAATTCCTGCCATAGCGTCCGCACTTTAGGAGGAGGTGAAAATGCTAGAAGCCCTCATGCTTGAATTTAGGTTCAGAATAAATAAAACCAGGTGGCGGAAATTTTCAGACCACACTGCTACAGCGTCTCATAACTATATCGGGGTTTTGGGACGTAAATATTCAACAACTGTCAAGCTTATCTAAAAGTCCTAAAGCCCTAAAGTTTATCTCAAATGTACGGGTATAATCACACTTTTTCAGAGAAGTGGATCACATGGCCCATCGACGCTGTTGATTGATTTATTTGTGGGGTTTAACGTCCCAAAACCACCATATGATTATGAGAGACGCCGTAGTGGAGGGCTCCGTAAATTTCGACCACCTGGGGTTATTTAACGTGCACCCAAATCTGAGCACACGGGCCTACAATATTTCCGCCTCCATCGGAAATGCAGCTGCCGCAGCTGGGATTCGATCCCGCGACCTGCGGGTCAGCAGCCGAGTGGCTTAGCCACTAGACCACCGTGGTGGGGCGCAGCATACTATGCGTCACCCGTAAATGGCAATGTTTGGTAATGGTTCGTGATCTCTGCTCCGAGTCGCCTTGTCGATGTTACCGTTTTGATGCAACTTCTCGAGCTCTCAGCTCGGGGTTGAACTGGCGGCGTTGCCGCTGAGCCGCTGTATGGAGCACTACACGTTCGCGTCGTTCCATGACAGCGCTGCATGACTGCGGGGAGCGCGCTCTGTACTGTGTGTGAATAACAACGTTTTCGTGGTATGTTGGTGTGCTTGTTGGCGACTCGAGACAGCTGTCGTTTTCTATGTCTGTGAACTGCAGTGTGGTTATGTGGGGCGTTTTGTGCACTGCATATTCGCAATCTGTATGGCTGAAGATCAAAACGGCTGGGTGGGTACTCGCTCGCTGGATTTCGTGCTGACCGGTTGTGCCCCCGTGATCTCCGACGACAGCGCAGCTCTGGCCGACTGGGCTCGCCCTACGCCATCACCTGATGCGG